TAAAGATAAATATAATTTATGCGTTTAGTGTAACATTAATTTGTGCCATATAGCTTTCAATCTGAAGAAAAATGATATATATTTTTATATGATTAATTTTAATTTTATATTTTTTTTTATTATTGTTAAAGTTAATTAAAATTAAAATTTGATTAAGTATCAATTATATATGACTTGGTATTATTTCAAATTATAATTTTCACACTATAATAAGATTATAATAGTAAGAAAACGTGTTAACAAATTATATTTATCTTTAGTAAAAATTCACTAGAAAAAGTCAAATATAAAATTTAATGTAAAAATAAACGGTAGTTATTGATTGTTGATTTTTACACGCGGTTGATATTTATTTTATTTATTATATTATTAATAACAAAATTAGGTTGTGAAAAAAAAAATAACGAAATTAGGGACAACATAAGTATTATTTATAATTGAATCAAACATTTATTAAACATCATATAGATGTGTTATCAAAATCTAACCCCATGTAATTTACACTTGTACTGCAAACCTTGAAATCTACATGTATTTATAATTATGCACATAATATAAAAATATTTAATTATATTTTTATCCTTAATTTAATGCGAAAGTAATTTTAGTCTTTATTACTTTAATTGTTTGATTTTAGCTTATATATTTAAACATGAAAAAAAATTATACCACCTTTAAATAGCCTCCAATTTTAACAAAAATTAATATCATTTAGTAGTACATATTATTTTATGTTTAACAAGTTAAATTATTTAATATTTTTTTAAAAAAATAAAAGACTCTTTGGACATTAATTAAATAAAGATAGAATTGTTAAGGTATGAAGGAATTTAGATAGTATGTACATGATTTTATATTTAAATTTAAATAATTATTTACTTATTATTATAAAAGTTTTACTTAATTACAGGGTTAGTTGTCTTTGTTTTTTGTTTTTTTTTTTATCCTTTTCTATCATGTAAATATATATAGGGGATTGTTAACATATTTTTTAGTTGGAATATGTTAGTAATTTATACCAAAATTTTAGGATAAGAAAACTATTCATTTACTTTTATTTGGTTAATTTATATAAATGATATTATAGTAATTTAATTTAATTTAAAAAAAAATAAATTATATTTTCTCTCTTATTAACTTTATTCTCCAACTCATTTTTTTTATTTTATTAATTTAATTTAATTTTATTTCAAAAGAAACTAAAATATTTTCTCTCTTTTATTAACTTCATCTCCCAACTCATTTTTCTCTCCTATTAAATTCTTTCTCCAACTCATTTCTCTTTCACCTCTCATGATGGCCCCCACAAATAAAAATTAATAATTAATAGAAGGGAGAAATGAGTTGGAGAATGAAGTTAGTATAAGAGAGAAAATATTTTTATATTTTTGAAATTAAATTAAATTACTATAATATTTTTTATACAAATTAACCAAAT